TTGTAGACTTTTATGATTCAAATCATAAGAGTAGTATAGTAATGTGAATGGATACTGTAGTATTACTGTGTGCATGCTCTTTAGGTTTATTTACTTCTTTAACTCTTTTTATTTTTACATGACAGTATTTTATATTTCCACTGGAGGGACAGTTCTACACACACTCTTGTGGGATTTTGTTTGCTTTTTGGGGGATTTATTTGCTTTTTTATCTGATTTATATTTATCTTCAGCTGTGGTTACCCACTGCTTCATCATTTCATTGCTTTCTGCGTCTCACTTTAACATCATTTTGTCTTTCTGCATTTTCTCAGCTAAAAGTAACTATAACGGATACATCAAATCAAGTAAGTCTCGAGTTTTACTAATGTTTCTAAAGTTCTCGTTGCTTCTTCCTTCATTCTTCCAAACCTCTTCATGTATTTCTGACAGGATTTTGTGTGGTGTATGTGTGTAAATTCATTGTATTGACTAGTATTTTAAAGCAGGTGTATACTAGTTATGCAATGAGAGCTTGTGTTTTTGAACATTTGATTGTAATTAGTGGATGTATGAAGTCATTGAAAGACCAGAAACATGTATAAACACTGTAGTTTTACTATAGTCTGCGTGTGATGATCTCTCCCAACACTAGATGGCGCTGCTGCATGAAATAAGGATTATATGGGATCAATATCAAATGAAGACATTATTAAATAACAGTGATGATAATGTTAAATGTATATAATTAAGAACTTAAGTAATATAATAAAAATTATATATTAAAATTGAAAAAAAACAATACACTCTGGATTTTATTTTTACTATTAAAAATAATTATAATTACTATTACATATAATGTATTTCTCTATAATATATTTAGTTTGATAATGGTGATGATTATTATTATTGTTTTTATTATTGCGTTATTGTCAAATGTAATAATAATAATAATAGTAAAAGGTTTCCCGTATTATTATTAAATATACTCAAAAATAGGATCATTATTAAATGAATACATAATTAAATAGTAAACAAATGTTCTAAATACAATAAAACTGTTAAACTGTAAATTATTATATACTATAAAACTATTATAAAATATGAAATGCAATAATAGCACATGTAGAACTCTAATATGTAATACTGTATGTAAACTCTATAGGCGGACGGCTGCTTCTCACTTAAGGCTGCTGTTTATGCTAATGAGGGAGACTAGTGGGCGGGGCACACTCACAACTGGGTTTGAACCCCGCATTAAAGTATGCAGCACTCCAGCAGGGATTAGTGTGTGATGTTGAGTGTGTTTTGTGTGTGTGTGTGTCAGTAGCGGATGAGTCTCAGTGTCCCCGTCCCGCCGTCAGATCCTCCGCTGTACCGGCCGCCTGCGTCCCCGTGCCATTAGTTTATTACCGTAAAGGCTCGACTCTGTCTGCGGATCACCGTAAGGGCCTGCTTCTGTCTCCGGCCGCCTCATACCTGCACAGACTGAGTCTGGCCAGTTCTCGAGAGCTTCGGCGCAGCCGTGATGGTGTTAATGATGAAGGTGTGCGTCTGCACCGGGCCTGCAGTCTGCCTGTTAAACACAGACACCCCAGCACACACTCTCTCTGTAAGAGCACCGCAGTGTGTGTGTGTGAGAGACTAACAACATAACAATGCTGAATTAAGTGAAGTTTGTTTATAATCTAATTTGGAGAGGATCATGTGCTCATGCTTGACATGAATAGTCCCGCATTAGCCAATCAGGTGATTCCTAACATTACAAATAAGTTCTCCAGATCTACCTGAGCTCAAACTCCCCTCTCGCCCTGCAAATGAGAGAGACCCCAGGGCTCGAGGATATTCTGAGCTCAGGGCTCTCTCCCGGGATAGCATGCCAAACACTCTTTATAATCAATCATCAGCTGAGTGTCAATTCCTGAATCATGATTAATCACACCCACAATAAATGCTTGTTTTGACATAAGAGAAGACAGATGTGTGTGCATGTGAAGTATATACAGTTAAAGTCAGAATTATCCGCCCCCTGAATTATTATTTCCCCAATTTCTGTGTAATGGAGAGCAGATTTCTCCAGCACATTTCTAATCATAACAGTGTTAATAACTCATCTCTAATCACTGATTTATTTTCTCTTTGTCATGATGACAGCACATAATATTAGACTAG